GCTGCTGATACTGATGGAAGCGACTGGGAAGCTGCCCCGCCGGGCTGGTTCGCACCTTCTTCTTCCGCCTCTTCTTCGGTGCTGCCCGCGGGGCGCCTCCCGCCACGGTTGGACTGCAGTGGGGCAGAGCTGCTGCTGGGGCGCGAGGCTGGGGGACCAGGCAGGGGCCGTCTCCCCCCAAGAAGTGAGGGAGGAAGAGAGTCGGGGGCAGCGCCCGGGGGTCCGGGATCCGGGGTACAGGCGGCGGAGCTGTGGTCACCATCGGGAGGGCCCCGAAGTAACCGCGGGCAGAAAAGCCAAGCGGCGCAAGACGGCCGCTCAAGACGAGCGGCTCCCGCTGCGGGACAGAAACGACAGTCATAGTGCTAGGAGTCGGGAGGCTCGGCAGGAAGAAAAGGAAGTGAAGCCCGTGATCACCGGACGGCGGCGGTTACTGCTGAGAGCCACAGAGGAGCGCGGTTCATGACTCGAGCGGAGGCGGCGCAGCAACAAATAGCCCTGGTCCGGGTTCGGAGTGTTGTTATCAGAGGCTCCGCCCCAGGCCCGCCCTCCTCCCTGCAGAAGCCCAATCCGTGTGTGACGATGGAGGCCACGCCCCTCGGGCTCCACCTCCATGGCCTGGGGAGAATCACACACAAACAAGCGGCTTGCTGCAGCCTGGCACAAAGAGCGCGTACTGCGCAGGCGCTGCCAACGGGTTCTTTCGGGAAGAGTCGGCCCCGCGAACAATGAAGTTCAGTTTAGGCCCCGCCTACCCTGCTCCCGCCTCTCCGGGGCACTGCGCCTGGCTGGGCCGCGCTCGGTCCGATTCGTCTCTGTGGGGGAAGGTAGGAGAGGCAGGAGGAGGAATTGGGAAACATCAGGGTCACGGATGCCTGCTCAGCTGTTGACCTTGAGGAAGTATCCGTTTTAACTCCAGCAGGAAAAAAAAAGATTTAAAAGAAGTTGTAAGAATTTTTTCCCTAACAGTCGTGATCAGCCTACATTTAAATACTAAAATACTAAATATGTATACGATATTTAGTAAAGTGTGCCCCCCCTTTTTTTTTCATTTACTCGGTTCAGCAACACTGTTCACTAGTACTAGAGATCTGAGTAAGAACCCAACAAGGACCATTAATGAGTGAACTGGCAGTTTAATATACAAAAAGTTCTCCATAAATCCGTAACAGGCATTAGGATTATTACCGTCTTGGTTCTTAAGGGATTGAGAACTAGGATCTCACAGCCTACAGCGACTTGAAGCAGCAGATGCTTTCCTGGCAAAGGGAGAAAGTGAAACTGCTCTGAATTTTTTATTAGCGAACCCTGGGTTACCCCTCAACTTCCCCAACTGCTCTCACAAAACACTTGTAGCCACCCATCAAACCTTGTTCCAGGAACTGGTCTTCAACGTAGATTATTTCATTTAAATCTCATAATAACTCTTAACGAATAGGTGCTGTACCTTTTAAACGGCTTTTACCAGGGAGAAAATTGAGACTCACTGAGGCTAAAGAACTTGTCAAAAGATCAGGCAGTAATTTAGCAGCTGAAAGAACAGAGTTTAACATGGTCTGTACTACCTGCCACGCTAGATTGTCAATTTTTATTTTTTTACCAGGTTTTGTAAGCACAATAATCTTCCGCTTCTCAGAACCAGTGTTTTACAGCTTTGTAGTGGTGACCAGTTGGTATTTAAAAACATGTATAGAGCCCGGAGTGGTGGTGCATGCCTGTAATCCCAGCACTTGGGAGGTTGAGGCAGGAGGATTACTGTGAGTTCGAGACCAGCCTGAGTTCCAGGTCAGTCTCACTACATAGTGAGACCCGGTCTCAAAAAAAAAGAAAAAAAAAGTTGTATAATTGGTAATGAAGTTGAATATCCAGAATAGTGGATCTCAGTAACTTTTTATAAACTTTACATTACACTGTGATCACTTGCTGGACTTTATCAATCTTGCTAGATTTTACTCAGTTTTGTGTCTGTGGCACTCAGTACATGGTAAGCACTCCTGTTCATTCAGTGAGAGAATCATACAGTCCCAGAGCCAGAAAAGATCATACAAAACTTAATTCAAATCCTCAGAACTATAAATTTTTTAAATTTATTAATTTTATTGGTATATTTAGGTATATAATATACTGAGACCTATAAATTTAATTTAATTTAGAATGCTCTGGGAATGGCCTGGCCAGAATTAGTGAAAAGAAATGGGCAAAGCTAGGCATGGTAGCACATACCTATTGTTGTCCGCTGTTTGGTCTGCAGAGTTTGGTTCAGGAGCTTGGACTGGGAGGGTAAGGTGCAGAATCACCAGGCAGACTCCCGGGGAGGTTTCTGGAACGCTTCCACTTTACTTAGGAAATGCACAGGCTTATATAGCTTACGTGCAGACAACCACGAGGGAAGAGCATGGGAGTAGCATTTGATTACATGGCACTTTCTTATAGGTTATGCAGATCCATACATTAGTGGAGAACATTGGGTGATATCTTATTGGCTAGACATGGTGAGGTGATTTTTCTTGGGCACGGTGAGGGAGTCATGGACTGGGGGCGGAGGTACAGCCTGTTAGACCGAGCCTCTATGCACTTAGGTGAGTTAGCTCAGCCTCAGAGAGGTCTTTGAGTTTGCTCAGAAGTCAGGAGTGCTGCACACCTGGTCCAGCCAGGCTTGAACTTCTCCCATAGTTCCCCCTTTTGTCTTTGACTCCAGAGCCTTGGCCAAGATGACCACATTTTTGTGAGTCTGGCCATATCTTCTTTGAGCCAGATGTTTAATTTTTAAAACAAACAATAACAAAATTATTCCCAAGACTGTCAAGACATAGGGCAAAGAAAGAATCAGCCTCTCACCCAAACACTTATTTGTGTCCATCCAGCCAAAATACCATCCCACAGGGTTTTCCAAATATTATCCATTGAGATAACATCTAATGCCTGAGTATCAATTTGAACAATAGTATGGGTTAATTCTAAGAGATGTTGTTTGAACAAGGGATCCCAAGTCTTCCATATATATTGTGACAAGTTTTTATAATGATTACAATTTTTACAGGGGTATGGAGTTACACAAATGTCTGGGAAGTTGACATGACACCTACTAAAAATCTTTGTAACAATTGTAATTCTTCCCATACCATATCCTTCTGAGTCTGTAAGGAAAGCACGGCTGTTCGGACATCAAGAAGATGTGTTGCTGACTGTCTGAGAGCCAGGGAGGTATTGTGAGCCAAATTATTAACAACTGTAGTGGTGGCAACTTGATTGCGGAGCGTAACTGCAGCTCTGGAGGCCTCAGATACTGAAGCAACAGTGGATGTTATGATGGCAACAATGGCTGAAATGACTAAATCACGTTTACGGCAGCAGGGGTGGAGCAGCAAATCGAAGAGGGGGGTCGCTGCCCTTTCCATTCCTCAGTTAAGTTAACTGGGATCCAAACTGCTGGTGGGTTCCTGCCAATATAAAAATACCAGGTAGAATTAAGGGGAAACAATGAGGGGTTGATGCAGGGAATAATACACACTTGCACATTATCATTAAGGCTAGAATTAGCCAGAATAAAAAAGAAGAGGGATGGGAGGCAGGCAGAAAAGGGGAGCATAGTAACTTTTGGGGTATAATGAAAATAATAGGTGGGGGGATGCAACAACAGCAGAACAGAAGAACGACAGGTATCAAAGACCGGGAATATGGAGGCAGGACCATATTAGCTTGGACAGACCCAGTGCAAATAGGTACTGTCGGAAGTTGAAAGGAGATTGGGGACCTTCCTGGAATAGAGGGCATCATACAGAGTCAACAGCACTCCTCCTGGCCCTCACGAGTCACGTCTTTGGAGTAACAAGCAATCCTGTGTGGAGAAGTTATTTGTAAAACACACTGAATTTGGGGAAACAGTGGAGTTTTATGAGGTGGAAATTACAGGTTGTGAAAAGTTTCCAAAGGAAGAGACAGGGTAGCTATAGGTTAGGAACAAGAGCCCATACTTGTGTGTTTGAAGAGGGAGAAGTAGCTCATTACGAATTGGCAGTGAGTGCTGCACACAGGAGAACAACCATCATTGGGCCATAATGGCTTTGGTAGTTTCAGGCGGTGCCATACTCATCGCTTGTGCACAAAGGGCTTTGAGGTCTGTGGTCTTCATCTGCGTTATGGAAGTCCTTCCAAACCTTGGGGGAGTGGGGGACCCACGGCGCCCAGTGTAACTGGATAAGCTTTGAAGGGTCAGGTCCCTATTTTAGTCTTTTTCAACATATTCTGAAAGAAAGCCTTATTTAAGTGAGACTCCTCATCACTAGAAGATTCACTCTCAGATGAGGGATCAGAAGAATCAGGAGACCGGTAAGATGGTGGCATCCGTGGTGGGGGCCGCCATCTTGGGCCCAGGAATCTGTGATGTTTCCTGTGATGAGTGGTTTTTGGCAGAGGTGCATCAGCGGCAGGAAGTGGAGAATTGGAGGGAGGGGCTGATGCTTCAGGAGAAGAAGAAGGTGGAAGAGAGAATTTGTCCATGCCATCTTTCCCAAGAGGTTCCTGGATGCCATCTTTGGGGCAACTTTGAGGCTCTTTTTCAGTTGGCATTTGGGCAGGAAACGCCTTGGACGCCTTAATAGTGTGAGGATCAAGACACTGAATAATCACTACTGAATAATTGCTGAAATGATAGGGAAAAAAATCCAACAGAAAGCAGATCTCCCCATGTTTTGCAGCACGCTGTGAGTTATGTATTGCATGTTCCCAGAGCTCAGCGTCTGTCACAACATCTGCACCCTCCATCCAAGGAGATGATGTAAGAACAGTCTCCTAGAAGGTGATGAAATGTTCTTTGGAAACTTTCATTCCCTGGTCTTTAACAATGCCTTTACCAAGGTGGCCTGTACCAGCTGTTCCTGACTTAAGATATTACCACGGCAGGGATCCTTACCCGCAACTTCAGTATTTATCTAGTATGCCCGAGCCCCACGTTGGGCACCAACCTATAATCTCACAGAAAATTCAAACCCACCCTGAGTAAATTATGATTTATCAAAAAATTATGATTATCAAAATTGTAAAATAGAAAAGGGCTGGGGGTGTAGTTCAGTGCAAAGGCTTTGGGCTCAATACTAGGACCCTATCAAAATTGTAAAATAGAAAAGGGCTGGGGGTGTAGTTCAGTGCAAAGGCTTTGGGCTCAATGGGGGAGGAGTGAGGAGAGAATGTAGAACCTCTGAAGTGAGGGTAAATTGTTCTTTTGTAAGATTCTCTACTTTTTCAGGCACTCCATTATTTTATGTAATATATTTTTGTTTTTTTGGTTTTTTGGGGTTTTTTTTTGAGACAGGGTCTTAGTCATAATACGTAGTTCAGGCTGGCTTGGGCTCACTATATAGTCCAGGCTGGCTTCAAATTTGCTATGTAGTTCAGGCTAGCCTCAAGGCAATCTTTCTGCTCCCAAGTGCTGGCATTCCAAGTGTGTCATTTGATTCTTACTGAAATCCTTTCCTGTGCATACAAATAGGTTCGCTCTTAGATAAAGTAATTTGCCCAAGAGTCACACCATGAATCAGGAACTAAATTAGTTTGACTCCTGAGGCCTCATGTAGGTCTCTTTTGACTATATCCCAAGGTCTTAGACTTAGCTTTCTGGGCATGATATCACACTGCCTTGAAGAATTGTTTAACCTTTAGAGAGCTGCTAATTGGTTGCCAGGTCAGTGGGACCTTGGTCAAAGACACCTATTTGTGGGTACCTGTTGTGTGAATGCTGGAGTTGATGCATGGTATATAATTTATTATTTATACCAGAAGGATAGGCTTCATGTGAGACCCTGGAATCTCTACTGTAAGAATTAGGGAGGCTGAGGCAGGAGGATCAATGCAAGTTTGAGACTGGCCTGAGCTCTATAATGAGTTCAAGTCTAGCCTAATCTATATAGCAAGACTCCGTCTCAAAAAAAAGGTAGGCTTATATCTGCCATAGTGGCACATGCTTATTATCCCAGTACATTAGAGAAACAGACAGAGGAGAGAGAACCCAGGGCAGACATTGTGTGAGAAGTGAAGCTTATTTCTTTAATACTGGTGTGCTGGCCAGTGGGCTGAGTCTGAAGGGGAGTTACTGTAGAGTACGGGAAAAACAAAGAATTTAAAGGAAAGGGGCTGGGTAATTGCCTTGAGGAATTTGGGGGAGGTAGATAGAGTGAGGTCATTCTTCTCTTTGTTGTTTTTGGTTCCGGTTCCAAACTTTCATTGCAGAGGCTGTTGGTGCCCATGGCACCCTTGGCATGGTGCTCCTTCCTACAAGGTTGCCTTACCCGCCAGTCATGACTCTTAGCTGCTTGGGAGGCTGAGGCATAAGGATGGTGAGTTCAAGGCCAGCCTGGGCAACATAGGGAGACCCTCTCTCAAAAGTCAAAAAAGGAAGGGAGGGAAAGGAAAGAAGGAAAGGGGAAGGGAGGGAGCCTTGCTGCTATGATAAATGGGAGTCAGGACTGTTACCGTGGAACTGGCAGATGTGTTCCAGACTCGTGTTTGACAAGGAAAGAATTGCCAAGTGTACACTCAGTAGCAAGTGGCAAAGCAGCTGCATTTATAGAAGATCACAGCAAGTTGTGCTCACAGAAGTCCATGCTCAGAAAAGTAAGGCACAGTCAGAAAATGGTGCTGGGGTGACAGAAAAGTAAAAGCACTGCACAAAAGTGATAGCATATAGAACAGCTATAGCAACTGCTGCCTAGATAAATCAGGCTTTTGGAATTTAAAGGATATGTACTTCAGCCCAAGTACTTTCTCTGAATCTCTGTGATTGACAGCAGTAACTGATAGGGTGCTGTGTTATCTCAGGGTGTTACTGGGTTTTGGAGTCTACTATAGGTGATTTCTAGGTTCTTTCTGTCCTGAACAAAGAATTGAGCAAGGCAAGTGCAAACAGTAATGAGGTTTTACATCTACTAAAGATAGGAAGAGAAACGGGCGATGCAGAGTAAATTTATGCCAAGTAAAAGTAAAAAAGTATGCACTATAAGAGAGATCTGGCAACTATGAGAACACAGTAGCAAAGTGCTCAGTGTTGACTGTTCTTTTCAAATCACTCTTTAGGCTGATGTCAGGTCTAGGCCATCCTATTGAAAACCGGGTGCTGGAGTTCTCAGGGGAAGTCTACATGCAGGGCTTTGGAAACTGTTCTGCTCATGTATCCTGAGATTAATAGGTCATACTAACTTCTCTGCCAGTCTTAGCCATATCCTACTTCCTGCCTTACTTCCACTTGAGAGAGACATATCTCCATAATTCTTCATGTAGTGCTGAGGGAGTGGAGGTTTCTGTCTGCATAGCTACTTCCTGGGATTATGTGCTCTACCTTGGGGTGTTGTTGCTCACTGACTGGGTTGAAAAAAAGAAGCCTATTCAAATGCAATGAAGAAATAATGAGTGTTAAGATGTCTGATAGCCGAAAGAAAGTAACTTTGCTATTAGTTTGGGGATGTAGAGCCCAAATATGAAAAGTAGTTTAGATTTCCACACTTCCTATGGAGGAGAAAGAATAGGAAAGAGGGATGTCAGAAAAAGTACTGAGAGCCTGAGATTCATAGCCTTAGCAAGATCATACATATTAAGGATCTAATAAAAATTAGAAGTCATGCTGGGTGTGGTGGCGCACGCCTGTAATCCCAGCACTTGGGAGGCTGAGGCAGGAGGATCACTGTGAGTTCGAGACCAGCCTGAGCTACATAGTGAGTTCCAGGTCATTCTCAACTACATAGTGAGACCCTGTCTCAAAAAACAAAAACAAACAAACAAAAAATAGAAGTCGCAGTACAGGTGCCTGTTTACTTATCTGCACCCAGAGCAATACTAATCTTACTTTTTGAAGTGGAGAGATCTTCCTTCAGCCTTCCAAATACTGGAATTACAAGTGTGTGCCATGATGTCCAGCTCTTTTTTTTTGAAATTTTGAGATGAGTCTTGCTAAATCACTAAATTACCCAGGGTAACATTAAAAATTTTAATCATCCTGCCTCAACTTCCTAGTGTTCTAGAATTTTAGGCTTGTGCCAACAGGCCTGGCAATTATTTAAATTCTGATTTGACCTTAACATTATGAAATCACTTAAAACATTTATTCCTTTTTGAAAAGGATTACTTTTATTTTCCAAATCTTAAATTTTTAACCTTGCTGATAACCCTTTATAAATAATCCTTATATGTGTCACTAATCCTCCAATCTCTTTTGCCTTACTTCATTTTGCTGAGTATTTTGTTTTTATTTTGTTTCACTATGTAGTTGAGACTCACCTGGAATTCACTATGTAGCCCAGGCTGGTCTTGAACTCACAGCAATCCTCCTGCCTCAGCCTCCCAAGTGCTGGGATTGTAGGCATGCGTCACCATGCCTGGTTTCTTGAAGTTTATTGATGTTCTTTTATCTAAGTAGTTCATGTTCTTACTAAGTATTCTAGGACAATTTTCT